GAGATGAAGACTCGAAGATCAACTTGCTCCAAATCCAAACTTTTTCAGATTAAGTCGAAGCTCTCAACGCCCTCTATCTTTTTAACAAAGGCCCTAGGCTAGATTCACACTCTAGGGAGATCAAATCTTAGAGAGAGTGTAAGTTTAGAGAGAGAGAGTCTCGGATCTAGGGTTTGAAAGAAAAAGGAAGTGAAAAACTGATGTTCAAAAACGCTACTGTCCACTGATATAAAACACGCTCGCTCGAGCGAAGCCTTTGTCGCTCGAGCGACCAGACACAGAAAACTCTCGCTCGAGCCAAGAAGTTCTCGCTCGAGCCAAAAACTCAGAAGTGCGCTCGAGCGAAAGAATGCTCGCTCGAGCCAACAACTCAAACCCTCAGGTCTGCAACCAGAAGCACGCTCGAGCGACAAACTTCTCGCTCGAGCGAAGAACAAACCAGACCGCTCGAGCGAAGAAAACTCGCTCGAGCCAAGAAATGCAACTCTTAGGTCCAAAACCAGACGCAATCGCTCGCTCGAGCGAAGCCACTCTGGCTCGATCCACCAGACACGAACTCAACTCTCGCTCGAGCGACCAACTCCTCGCTCGAGCGAAGGTCCAAAAATCTGGGCAGCAGCACAAGGCTCCCAAACACAACCAACTTGTAACAAACCTGCCCAACACATCCTATAACTCAATATACAAAGTAAAGAGGATGCAAACTAGATAATAAACAACTACCAACATCCACGGACACATGTCCGGATCACTGTACAACAAGGGTAAACCCGGGATCGCTATAACTGGTAGGTACGTGGATCACTTGACTTGAATGCTATAATATACTTATAATATTCATGCTACCCAACAGAATGACCATTGCTAGAATAAATACTTGCAATAATCCCAAGAAATGACTGCTCATATTACCTTAAACTTGGATCACTTGCTTGTATACTAATTTTTGCATACAATTGAACTTAATGACATTAGCATATTATTCGCAGCATTTAAAATGATGTGCTTCGCCTCACGACAAAGGTTCATTTTAGTGATTTGACAAAAGTCTCAAAACACACTTTTTGTTCGAAACTCCATTTCCCATTATAGTCATGACTCCATTTCTTGAAGTTGTGCCTTTTAAATGCTAGGGCAAACAAAACAACATGATTTTACTAGTGTAGGATATTAATCATCATTGAAACATGAAAGATATTGTACCTACAGATTGCCTACAGCTGGAGATTAAAAAATTTAAAAAGAAAAAAAAGAACGCTATTGTGTTCCAAAATCACAATCAACAGTTCTGTATGATAAAGATAATATTCTTGACAAGAATCCTCAACATTTCTTCATCTTAAGCTCAATACCAATTAGAAGGTCAGCTCTCTTACAAGGGAGAAGGACAAATCTAATTCTTAAAACAAAACAACTAGAGAGATAAGAAGCACTAATACAAATCAAATCACTAGTAAAAGTTTCACTTTAACAGTCACAGGAACCCATATGTTCAATATAGTTGCCCAATAAGAAGCAAAATAGACAGAATGCAGCAGCCCCATGAGAATAAGTAAAGCATTGCAAACTCATTTTCCTAATTTGAATTTTGTACATACAAATGCGTACGTGGAATGATTACCAGACAAAAAAAGAACAATTCAACTTCAGTACATTAAGTAACATTTAGATGGAACATATAATCCAAACAAAATGTTTGTCTCAGACCATGTTTCCCTCATCTTAGTTACTATTTGGGCAATCAACTAACCCTTCAATCAAGCATATATGTGTATGGAATACACCAATCTGAAAACATCAAGTACTGTTTGTAATAGTGTTACGTATGTTAACTTTATTGTTTTCTATTTCATTTTCAGAAATGGATGACCATTCCTGTATTCCACCCACTGCCTCAGAGAGACGACGTCGTGCATTAACTAATACTAGTCGTGGCCGAGGTCGAGGTCAAGGTCGAGGTTGGGGTCAGGGTAGAGGTCGAGGTGATGATATTGTGTTGGAGGAAGCAGCTCAAATCTTGGAAGATGATGTGATTGATAATGGTTCAGGGGATACTGATGTAGATCAGGCTGAGGAGGTACTCACTGGTCCGTTTCTTGGGGGCCATCAGATCCATTAGTACTGAAGAGCTTCAAGGCACATATTGCAGCAGCTATATAGGAGCAAAAGGTAGTATATTTTTTATCCATGTTTGTTTCATTTAATTATTTATTGAACAAAATTATTTATGTAAATTATTACTTACCTTGTAGGAGAGGAATCCCATAAGGTGTTATAAGCATGCGTCCGAGATTCTTGAGTGGCGTTGGTGGTCAAGAATTGACAATAGAAGGTTTAGAGACATTGTGCAGCTGTCAGGCCTATTTTCTTTGGTCCATTGCACATATTGGTTCGTGAATAGGATTGTCATATCTGCATTTGTTGAGCGATGGCAACCAGAGACAAATATTTTCCATTTGACAGTTGGTGAGATAACAATGACATTGGATGATGTGGGTACCATCTTGGGGATCCCTATCACAGGTAGATCAGTTAGTGCTGCAACTTTAACAGATCAACAGGCACATGCACTTGTGGTAGATGCCTTGGGAGTTGATGATGCTGAAGTAACTAAGGAGCTATCATTTGCTAGGGGACAATCAGTGAAGCTAGAATGGTTATGAAGCAAATTTAGTGGTTGTAAAGATTCAGATACCGAGGAATCCATAGCTTGTGCCGCCAGAGTGTATTTGCTATTTCTATTGGGATGTACACTGTTTAGCGATAAGAGTAGGACGAGAGTTCCTGTTGTGTACTTGTAGTTGTTGATGGATTTGTCTGATATTCATACATATGCTTGGGGTGCAGCTGCATTGGCATATTTATACCGACAGTTGGGATTTGCCACGAGATCAGCTGTTCGACAGATGGCTGGTTACATAACATTGTTGGAGGCATCGATTTATGAGCATTTCTGGCCATTTAGACCTCACCAAAACATGGAATATACTGTATAATTGCCTCACGTGCATCGATGGACTCCTCGTCGAGAAGCTAGCTCAACGATATCACACCTACAGGCGTTATGGGAGGAGCTTGACAGATTGGCATTTAATGAGTTATACCATTTAATATTAGTTAATTAAGTTTTCTCATTACATGTCACTTATCAAGATTTCATTTGTGTTTCTCTCTTAGGTTACTTGGGATCCATATCGACATTGCCGTCAACATCACCCATGTCATGAGATCACATTCTATACTGGCTGCTTGAAGTGTTTGGATATAGTTGAACCCTATCATCCTGAAAGGGTTCTTAGACAGTTTGGTAGGGTTCAGACCATCCCACCTGCGCCACTCGACCTGTTCGTGCTGCTAGAGGTGTCACAGTAGGCCGATATAGAGTGATGTATCAATATCTTGATCAGATATGTGAGAGTTGGGATAATCATGTTTATCTGCTCGGAGGAGGAGTACCCCAGTCAGACGTCCAACTGATTGTGTTGATGGTTACATGCAGTGGTATATAACCATCACACACTTATATATCCAGAACCCCACACATCGGTCTGGTTTTGACCTACGTGCACAGGATAGTCGATCTGACATGCAGGATGCTGAGGTATGACAATATTGCTCACACATTGTTTACATTTTTTTTGAAGATGGCACGTGTTAATTGCAATTGTATTTGTTCTTGATGTAGTGTATTGATCACGCACTACGGATTGCCCATCCTATCATCGAGGCGGGCCATGATGCTAGTGTTCGTGAGCCAGATAGGTTATATGAGGCCATTGAGAGGATGACACATGTTCTTCAAGGTCAACAAATTGATGACGTTGGACCTAGTTCTATTCCACTTTGAACATACAATCGTAGGATACGAGTAGATGATAAGTAGTTGGTTATGTGGTAATCTTGGTTTGTTATTTTGTAATGGAAAGAAGTACTCTTTTGATGATTTTGTTGGTTTGTAATGAACAAGAATTACTCTACCAATATTTTGTAATGAACAAGTATTCATGGTTTGTATTTTTGGTAATGAAGAGGAAGTATTATGCCATTGCGTTTGATACACCGCAATGAACAAGTAGTACCATGTGCATTAAATTAACTCAAAGTTTAATCGAACTCAACTATTTAATTGTTAATCGTTACAAAAATGTATCGGTAACTTTTTGAATTGCATAACTACAACTCAACTCAACTCACATACATCATTACTCATCAAGGTTAATACAATCAAATGTCTCTATAGTAGTTACCCCTGAATGAACAACTTGTTTAAAATGCTCAATTCGGCAACTATATGTAGTATCCCATCCAGCCGCACAAGAATGATGAAACTTGCACCAATTGATAGCTATCGGTGGAACTGGATGACCCGATAACATGAACACCTACATTGACAAAGCTTTAAGTATGAAAGCGATGCAGTACAAAATGATAAATGTATTACACAAACTATAATGCTATACCTGGATAAAATGATTCCCATTAACAAACCCAATAGCAATCTCACGCCGTTGAACTTGTGATATTGACATTGATCGTAGGGGGAGGAATGTAAGGCATTGTTGTGTAGATAGGTGGTACAATACCACATTATAACAAGATGCAATAAGATGACCCATGTCAGGCATAGTCATCCAACGGTGATAACCTAGATTGGGCTTAAAGTATGATAGAATATGGGTCAGTTCTTCAATCCTATCATGTGAACCATATAGATGAGTGTAATGGTCTATGTGTGTGTGCAATTCCTGTAGGAGATCACGCCTGACTTGACCTCATTCAGCTCTGTAAACCCCATCAACCCAACAATGGCTCTAAACCCACAATTGCCATCGGCATCTACATCCTTGATAAAATGTATGTACGGCTTTAATCCAACTGGGAGGGCATCAACATATGAATAAGTCGTATTTATATGAGTCCGATATACCTATTCAACAGGGAAAGCATCAACACATGAACAACAAAACACGCAATTTATCATAAACAAAAATGTAAGTAAAAAATGATTACATGTACCTTCTCTTTGCCAGGCCCTTTTCTATGTACTTTGACAGAATTTCGTATGGGGATATGGGTGCCCATAGGTGAGTGGCTATCATGTCTAGACTGAACCAGCTCAAATGCACATGGGTCTCGACGCGTAGATACATTTATATTCTTATGTCCCTTACCTTGAGGGTTGGGCTTCACATCCTGCTCAATCAGAAAACTACTTTGCGGATCTACAATCTCTCCTAACTTATGTAGAATTTCCAACTGCATAGTGTAATCAGATACATTGAATCGCTTAACTTTGGTTGACAACTCAATTCCATTTTATCATTCTTCAACTTTTGTACTACCTCAAGAGTCCTCCAGTGTGGGTTAATGCTATCAAGTGGTATTCGACGACCCTGCCGGATGTAATTCGCAATCTCATGGGCACACGGTAACCCATGTGTTCGTCGAACAACACATCCACATACTGAAGCATCAATGCCAACATCATTCGTTCGCTTACTTTCTGCTAAGACATGATCTAATGCAGTAATAGAGATATTGCCTTGGAGCTCTCTAAAATGGGATGGTTTGAACTGGTGTTGTACAACGGTTAAACTCTTCTCAAACGATGCCTTAATATCAATATGCTGCAACTCAAGCAAACTATGGATCTTGATCCAAGAACACTCAAAATTTACTTGGTTAGAACCAAGTTGCCGTTTCAGTTTTGCATGTGCACTTTCAGCCCTGTGTACAATGGAAACAATTAACATAATTAAGTTTAAATAATCAAAATCATAATGCCTAATAGTGTAAGGTAGACAAATATATATTACCTGTTGGTTGTAACATTCCCGAAGTGCATGCAACTATCTGTCCATACGGCAAAAAACTTATCCTTATATGGAATTAACCAACTTTGTGACACATATTGCACTGCCTCAGGATATGTATCAAAATCCGCAAGTAGCCTAGCAAGGTGTTCATTGTATTCAAGCTCAGTTGACGAGAGTACTAAGAAGTTCCATAAAGAGATAAACTTGTCCCATTCCTCCTTATTCTTACACATTTTCTTGCATTTCGCCAGTATATTTCTACTAATATGCCATCGGCATAATAAATGTCAAGATGTAGAAACTACCCTGTCAATAGCATTCATCAAAGCAAGCTCCCTGTCCATGACAATCACCTCAGGAATAGCAACGTCATCCAAGAGACTACGCAATGTAGTTAACACCCAAATGTAGTAATCAATCCGCTCAAATTGGAGATATGCAAAGGTTACGGAGAATGACATATCAGTGGATGTCACACCAAATATCTCAAGAAGAGGAAGACGATATCGATTTGTCTTATATGTGTAGTCCATGATCAACACCTTTGAAAATGAATGGAGCAAATCTAAACTGACAGGATGTGCCCAAAACAAGTCTGTGACAGTCATCGTGTTGTTGTCACACCTATGCCGCTCAATGTAATTATGCTTTTCTAACTCACCCAACAAATGTTGCATTTGTGATCTCCCAGCTTTCTCAATAACATTATTCCTATGACGTACATTGTAAATGGTTTTCATAGTGGTTACATTCAAAGCATCCTTTCATTTCAATGTAACCAAAATCTCTTTTGGTTTGACCATATTTTTGGACATATCCACTAATAATGATGTTTCCTCCTAGGATAATCTCCCTGCAAATGAATGTCCTTCAAAATGTTTAGCAGGAGCATGGTTATGCATTCCACATGCTACATCTACCATCCAATCATCATCAGCCATCAACTTACGAGCCCTCAACTCAAAGGGAGACCCACATTTCTTTGTTCCCGTTATCTTCACAATTTTTTTGTTTGAATCATCTCCTTTTAATTTCTTATGAGCTCTGTATTGACCACTTCTCTCACAGGCAAGATATATCCTCGGTGTCCTATGACCACCACCATAGTCCGATGTCTTGATGACAATCACAAACCCATTTTTCCTTCCAACGTCCCGTACCCAACCGAGCAATTCTTCTTTGCTCTTGAAAACCTACAAGTCAAATTCAACAAAGTCATTAAATATTCGAAAAGAAAAAAAAATATTAATTTTTGACATGAGACTACCTTATTAGTAATAAATTGACTCGTGTAGTCAACAAGACCCCAGATCTAACATTACTGCATTCCACCGATGCACAGTTCTGAAAAAAAAAAAATTATAACTGTTCGGCAGTACAGAGTTGAATTAAATGAAATTGTTCGATTTTTTTAACCAAATATATGAATTATGTTCGACTCTTATCAACTGATTATTTTTAAAATGTTCGATCGTAGTAATCCGAACAAGTACAACTTGTTCAGTTGTAGTTAGTCGAACAAATGCAACTTGTTCGATTGTAATTAGTCGAACAAATATAAATTGTTCGGTTGTAATAAGTCGAACAATGATCACTTGTTCTCTATAATTATTTCACTTAAAGTTAAAATTATAATAAAAAATAAATTAATTAATAATTTGTCTTTGCACAGAAGGTGGTGGATAAATAGAGTCTCCCCTTATCACTACCCAAACATTTAGCTAAACAAAATTGAGATTTGAATTTACTGGCTGAATGACCAATAATAAAGTGGATATTACTCCTTGTAATTATTTTTTTTGAATTACCCTGATTTTGTGATTTTCCGAAAGGAAAACAGCCACAGTGATTCTCTCTCTTCCTCTCTCCCAATGGCTCGCGAGTCTTCAAAATTTCTGGAGCTTTACGGTAAACTAGTTCAAACCTATATTGGTATATACATATATGTGATTCTTTATGTATATATTTGTATATATATATGGATGGGTAGTGACTTTGTGAGTTTGAAATGGTTTTTGCTAGGTTATGATTTGCTTCTGGGATCGATTGCTGCGTTTTACGTGTTTATGGTACCCTACACTAAGGTTGAAGAAAGCTTCAATGTTCAGGTACTTTCATTTTCTGATCAATTTTGTTTCTCTTTAACTTTCCTGTGTTTTCTCGGTAACCAAACGGAGCTTCTTTATCTGTTAGATTAGGTACAGGTGGGTATATAACAATTAAAGCTGGGAGTGTAAGTAATTGGATAATTGGAATCCAATTTTTGACAATTAACCTAATTGTTTCATGTTTTAGGCAACGCACGATGTTTTATATCATCGGCATCACTTGGAGAATGTGAGTTTATCTCTGTTTGGCCAAATCTTTTCATGTGCTATTTTGGATTGAATTGGAAGTGAAATTAGACCTAATTGTCTGGTTTTTGATGTTTGTTTCCAATATCAGTATGATCATTTGGACTTCCCTGGAGTTGTTCCTCGCACATTCATTGGTAAGTTTGAGCTTTTTGTTATGTTGGGACTTCTTTTTTATTTTTTTTTTATTTTTAAATAAAAAACTATGATGTTAATGCATTCTTTTGTAATAGTTTGATTAAGCATTACACGTGAGACGCTCTAGAATAAAGATTTTAATGCATGCCCATCAAATTATATCGATGTGAAGAATGATTTAGTGTGCATAACCATGTTGCTTATCTGATACTAGCGCATTCTTTTGTCATGGTTTTATTAAGATTTACATGGAGCGTTTATAGAATAAAGACATAAAGATTGCACATGTGCCCATCAAATTATTTATAAGAAAATTGTAGTGACAAAAGTAAGGGAGTCTCTTATGAAAGGACAAACATAAAACCCTATAAGGTCTTGTAATATTGGAATAAACCTAAGCTACGACAAGTGACCTTTAGTGTGTACTGAACTCACTACAATTGGTCTTGTTTTATTAGTATCTGGCATTGAGCCCTTTGGTGGTTTGTTTGTTTGTTTTGTTTTGTTTTGTTTTTTTTTTGTGTGTGTGTGTGTGTGTAAAATAAAATTACTTTGCTTATCAAATAAAAAAGTTAAAGATGGGTGTTCTTTTTTTTTTCCTTCCTTCTTTGGGGAGTAGGGGTGGGGGTGGACGTTGGTTCAGTTTACGTTTTCCATTAGTGGAATTGAAAAGTTGTACTTCAAGCTATATTTTTTTTTTGATAAATAAAAGGAAATAATAAGTATTGTACTTCAAGCTCTACGAGCACTCTGTAAGTTTTGTTGCTTGTAATATTATTTCATTTGCGTGCCGTTATCAACCATTCCTGTATCCATGTTGTCTTTTTAGTATTCTATTTGACTATGGCCTAATAGGAGTAACATGGTGTACAAATTACAATGCAATGTTCCAATAAGGATGAAGTTTAGTTGATTTATTGAATATGATGCAAATATTGAGTGAAGTTGATTTTACTGATTAGAATGGACTGTTTTAACAGGGATAAAGTCACTTCACTCTGAGTAATGTCTTTTTTGTAGGTGCTGCACTTGTATCAATCTTGGCATCTCCCATTGTGTCAGCAATGAGTTTGCTACACTGTCCAAAGATTTTTAGTCTTTTTGCAGGTTAGTTTAGTAGATGCTTGCCATTTGCCTACCAGTGATTATTTCAAGTGCTGTATCATGTGGTCTGCTCTGCTGAACATAAAGTGTGCTTAGTATGATTATATGATGATACCTTTCATCTATGTTGTGTGGTCTGCTGAACATAATTCTCATTGTCTTCATTTTTAGATAGAACTTTTTTGTTTGCTTGCTGTAATATGAGTTTCAGTGTATTTAATAGAAAGCTACGAGTATAAATCATGTAGACTTGAGCCTGAGAACTGCTAGTCTAACGGCGTTGCATGGTTGCTTCCATTTGTGGTGCAGTTTCTTCAAAGTAATACAATAGGCTTAAAATTAACAAAAATATTTAATGTACCTTTTCTTTAATTAGAATTGAAAAGATTAAGTTTGTGACACGGAAAAGAAGAGCTCATAAGGACATTTTCTTAAGGTTTAACTTTCTTCCTTGCTGTTAGTCTGTTATAAAGATGTTGCACTCTAAAAACCGGAGCTTCTATTAAATGAATGAACTGATTAATGTGAGTACTGAGTATGTACGCAAGAAAATAATGGGTTTGTGTTCACAACCAAACTAGAATCTTGAGAAAAATAAAAGCATGGAACATGTGATTGTGATTTGGTACTGTGTATATATATATATATATATTTTCTTCAAAATATGCTCTATTTTTCAAAAAATACTGCGTATAAGCCTGATAAATGTCAGCCTTATGCTGTTGCAAGGTTGCTTCCATTTATGGTTTAGTTTCTTCGGAGTATTTCAAAAGGCTTTTTGTCATTGACTGAAACCTCAGGAATAACCTCTTCGCATGTAGGGGTAAGTGATGCGGAATATAAGAAGCTCAAAGAAGACTAAATTTAAAGAAGCGGCAATATTTGGAAATTCGAATGGTTTCAAAGAGAAATGATAGGAACCATACATAATCATGTTTCTAATATTATTATAGTTTTATTTTATGATTATTTTTATGTTTCTAGGATGTTTAGGTGAGGGGTATTTTGGTAATTTTATATTTGCCTACATGGGCTGAAGGTGTCGCCCATGGGTCGTCTTGTGAGTCAAGTTATTTAATTAGTCTTTGTTTTTGTTTCTTACTTAGTCTTAAATTAGTTTTGGAAGTTAAAAGATATTTTGGTAGTTTCCTATTTTAGTTCTAGTGGGTTTAGGAAGTCTCCTAGTCCTATATAAAGTCATGTAATGCTTATAATTCAATGGAGTTGATATTTTATAAAAAGTTAAAGAGCTTTGAAGCTTCTTTATGGATTGTGTGATGCAATCAAATCCTAAGTGTGATACCTATGGAATCTAGGTGTGATGCCTAGACCTAGCTTCTTCTTCTTCTTCTCCTTTCTTCTTCTTTTATGTTTCAATTTGCTATTCTTGGATTACTATTTACAGCCCTCTAAAAGTGCATTTTGGAACCTCAAAAATCCATCCAATCACCTTCAAATCAACCCTAATCCCTTCCCCTACATATTAGCCTTCAATTTACTCTTGAAACCATAAATTACTCACTGTTTAGGCTATCAAATAACCTCTGTTTTGAAAATCCAGCGCTGTTCCTATTCATCCTGCATCAGTAAGTCTGTGTACATGTACCCTCCCTAGACCTGACAATGTCCGAATCATTGTGTACTGGGATTGCCCTTTAGAATTAAAGAGATAAAGTTTTTGACCTAGAAAAAGAGTTTGTAAATACATTTGCTTAATCATTTAGCTTTCTTCCTTCCTGTTATAAATATGTTGCCATCTAAAAACTTGAGCTCCTATTAAGTGAATGAATCAATTAATGGGAGTTAACCAAGAAAATAATGAGTTAGTAATGCTCACAACAGACTTAGAATCTTGAGAAAATATAAGCATTCGACATTTGATTAAGATTTGGTACTACCAAACCAAACCAAGCCGGCAATCAATTGATTAACGCACATTTAGTGACATTTTTTTTTTTCTATTTTGAAAAATGGAAACAAAATTATATTTGGGATCTATTTTCATATCGAAAAATGGAAATAATTTTTAATATTAGGAATTAAGAAAATGGTGTTTTCACTTATTTTCAAGATAAGTTTTCATTTCTTTCTTCATTTGCTCTACCTTCGGTCACCCCTTCCTCTGACTACCCACCACCTCTAGCCACTTTCTAACCAGCTTCACCCTTTATCTGACCACCGTTCCATTTCCATTAGTCACAAACCCAAATAAACAATAGAAGTGAAATGGAAGAGAAAGAAAAAAAAATCAAATAAATAGGGAGGAAAGAAGTGTGATAAAGATTTATTTGACCACCCTTTATCTGACCACCGTTCCATTTCCACTTTCTAGAAAAAAAAAAAAAAAAAAAAAAAAAAAAAAACTCCGTTTTTAATGATCTAATTTTCTTGGAAGAGAAAGAAGTGTGATAAAGATGAATCTTGGTAGAAAAGATTGAATATTCCATCAATTTAGGGTTTTCGACGGAACTCTTAAAATCAAATAAATAGGGAGGAAAAATTTATTAATTCCCTCTCTAAGAAGGGTGGGATCCTTGGTTGATTTTTATCTTTCTTTTATTCCTTCCTTAGATTATTAGTGTTAGGACATGCAATTTGAATGAAATAGATTTTTCAAATTCAAATTTGATGAGAAATGAAGAAGAAAAAAAAATAAAAAAGGATCCCCTGGGGAATGAAATCCTGCCCTTCCCTCTGTCTCACCTTGCACAGAAAGGAGAGTTGAATTAATGTATTTATTGGATCCATCGGGATTGAAGGGGCTTGAACCTGCAACTTCTGCCTTGACAGAGCGGTGCTCTGACCAATTGAACTACAATCCCAGGGAAATAAGGGATATAGCAAAAAATTGGATTCTTTTTTATTCCTTCGTATCAGTATTTCTGAAGGACAAGGGATTATACCATCTCATGGTAGATTGGAAAATTATTGGGCCGAGCAGGATTTGAACCAGCGTAGACATGTTGCCAACGATTTATAGTCCGTTCCCATTAACCGCTCGGGCATCGACCCAGGAAGAATCCTTTTTAGGCTTGTTTTTCTTTTTATATATTTTGAAAGGAAAATGCTATTCCACCAGAATTTTTGCACAAGAATTATGTGGCAGTGTCAATTGTGTAATTAAAGACATCTTAATGGGCTCTTTGCTCTAAAGTGATAGGCTCAAAACATAGCCAAGTCATTATGTATAAGTTTTTTTTTTTTTTTTTAATGGATGTTTTGTTCGTATAGCACCTTCATTTTGAAAACATTTGTGTACCTATGTTACATGGAGTCTGCTAAATTTGTGAAGCATTTGTGTTAGCTCAATGGTTAGGTTGCTCCATTGTGACTTGAGCATCTTGGGTTCAAACCAAGGAAACAACCTCTCCTCATGCCAGGCGAAGGTTCCATATATGTGACTCTCTATAGACCTTGTGTCAGACACTCTATACTTGAGTAAGGATATGAGATATGTGTCTTGGCATGTTTAGTTGGACTTACACCTATAAAATATGCGTAATTAGTCGTGTTTACATCATAACTATGCATAAAACTCTCATTTTATGCGTAAAATACTCTATATTAGGTTATAAAAACCATTTTACTCTAAAAAAAAATAAAACATTTATTTTTAAAAATATGAAATCTAGTCGTGTCTTGATGTCATTGTACATGAGAATTAGATGAATTCAACTCTTAGACACACCAGATACTCATATCCCAGACCATGTAACAAAGATGTGCACCAAAATTGATTTTTGTTTTTGTTTTTGTTTTTTTTTTTCTGCACAATAAAAAAGTCTCCTGTTTTGTGTGACATAAAACATGAAATTGGCAATGTTACCAAATGCCACCTTAAGTTACTATTTCTACATTTTGATTATTCATTTATTTTTTCTATATCATTGTTTTGCATGTAAAATAGGGCAACATTTCCATTTAATTTCCCTAGATCATTAGGAAATTCCATTCCTCCCACTTCTCTGTGCATTTAATGATGTTTTTACTAGTTGGAAGGAGAGAGATTATTGTCATTTATCAGGCGAATGAGAATTCATCTAATCGACCCCAAGTAATTGGGAAAAGACTTTATAGTTGTATCAGCCTTATGGACTAGCATATTATTTATAAATGATGGGCCTCTTCATGTGACCTGGTTGCATATGTATATATACACACATACGCACACATATATATAATTTTATATTTGTTTTGTTGATTTAAAATAAATTGGGCTTACATATCTTCTTTTCTCATGTTATTTATATCCTTACTTTTCAATTATTTAAGGCTATTACATGGAATTTTATTTTTGCATATAGCTTGATTTATTCAAAATTTTCTCCAGTTCGTTTGGTGTTAGGTAGCATCATATTGTTGACGCTGCGGTTTTTTCGTATTCAGGTACGCATTCACTTTTTCATTTATCGGTCTTCTTTTTCTTTTTCCTCATAATCTTCTTCTTCTTCTTCTTCTTCTTCTTCTTCTTCTTCTTCTTCTTCTTCTTCTTCTTCTTTTATATTTTTTAATAACTTAGAAGTTACATTGTTTTTTATATAGATGTTCACAAACACATTTAGGTCTACACATACGACATCCTTCCTAGAGTTAAGTTACTAATTTTCCCAAAAGCATAAGTTGTTAGGAATGGGCCCAACAATGTATATCAAGCTATTCAACACCTAGCAACCTAGATTGGTAGGACCATGTATGGACATATGTATAAGTTGTATTTACTCTATAAACAAGATACCACAATCACTATGTTATGCTTGTTTTCACTTCCAAACCTTTCATGTGTTTAGCGTATAGGACAAACGACTTTTTACATGTTGATTGCTCTGGACGAGAGAACATTATCAAGGGCTTTACAGGTTTGGTGGACCATGGAAAAGTCAATACTAATGTGATTTTCAAATTAGAAGGCGGGTAAAAATGCTTAGGGTTAGTTTTGATAAAACTGAAAATTAAATACTAAATTTATTATATTTTAAGAACTGAAAAAATAATTAGTGGGGTTTGAAATTTAAGCCCTAAACTCAATTAAACAAGAGTGGTGCTATTAGCACCCCATAAATCATTTTGGACCCCCACTTACAAATTTTGAAACCTTTAAAATTTCTTTTTACTCTCCCAATAATACCAAAATTATCCTCACACATTCCACCCATTGAACACCCCCACACCCCTAAAAAAAACCTCTATTCCAAAAAAAACCCTAACAAAATTCACTGAGAAGTAGAGTTTCATCTTTGTCAAAACCCACAAAGAAGAACCCACGAAGAAGAAGAAGAAGAAAAATATTGTCTCTGCCAATTGAACCATTGTCATAGTTGGTAAGCTCTGTGTGTGTGTGTTTGTGTGTCTAATTATCTCTCATTCACAGAGTCTCATATCTCTGTGCCTCCTCTCATTCTAATTTCTCTTTCTTTTCACTCATCCCCTCACTTCCTCCCTAATTTCCTACAGACCTCACTCCTCCATCAACTCAAATCCCATGAAAACCCACATATTTGAAGGCGTTAGCAGTGCTATTGACAAAAGGGGTGGGTAAGATATCCTCGCTTGCTGTGCATCCGAAACTTGTTCTCCAACGATCAAATGAAACACGTCATGTATGAGAGACAATGGCGGTGCTATGGATGAAGTCTTGGTGACTTAATAAGATGCTCCCCTTTCAAAGTGTTAACAAATTTTCATGTTCGGACCTGCATTCCTGAACAAATAAGGTATGTTTGGGAATGTGTTCCTGAACAAATAAGTAATGTTCAGGCTTATATTCCCGAACTTGGAAAAATGAAAACTTCTAGGAGTGTCAAGAATTTTAACCATTCAAAATGTTAACAAATTTCCATGTTCGGACTTGCATTCCCGAACAAATAAGCTATGTTCGGGAATGTGCTCCCGAACAAATAAGTAATGTTCGGGTTTGTATTCCCGAACTTGGAAAAATGAAAACTTCTGGGAGTCAAGAATTTTAACCATTGAAATTGTTAAACAAATTAAGGGTGTGTAGGTTTTGAAGGTGAGATTTGGGAAAGATGGATGGGTGGTGATGGAGGTGGGTGCTTTCATAAACCCTGATTCATCATGTAGTGGGTGTGTAGGTTTAATTGTGAGTGGGGTGTCCCAAAATTAATAATGTCCTTTGTAGTAATTTTATTTGAGGTTATTATTGTAATAAAATAAAATAAAAAAACTAAAAATTAGGGGGTCCCAAATAATTTATGGGGTGCTAATAGCAGTACTCTTAAACAATGATAAGTATGATAAGCTTAAATCTGAAAATTGTTAAGCATACATTGTTGCCCTTATTTCTATTATTCGCATCATTTTAAAGGATAAATTTTAAAAATATTTTTGCTATTTGTTGCTGATCAACAAAAAATGTAAAATATTTTGCACATAGATTGAAAAAAAAAAAACTAATTGCCACTTGTACTTGTACATGACCATTAAACTTATTACATATGCCAAGAAAGCAATGCTGCACTTGTGGGCAATTGGTTGACGCATGAAGCTATTCTATGCAACAAGTATTGAGTGCTTGCTGAATGAGGTGGCGGAATGCTACTAACAAGGTACAAATGAAGACATTCCGTTACTCGGGGGACACGCTAATGCAACGCTATAGGCCCACAATGGCCTACAGTGGAAGGTAACACACATGCATGCACGAGGATTATCCAGTGGGCACGAGAGTGGCCCTTTGTGTTTTATTGGGCTGTGCACGGCCTTATGGCTACTTGAGATGCATGACGTTGGGGTGCATGATCCCCGTGGCTATTCGTTGTGCTTGAACAAGACCCGATATGCAATGGAAACTTGTTAGCTTGATCGGGGGCCTTTGTTAGCACATGGTTGGACATTTTGTGTGGTTGCGGTATCAATGACTTTCATGGGTTGTCCAATTGTGGGCAACAAATCCGGTGGTTATTGTTATGCTTAGTTGTGTGGTTGGGTTCCTTGATGACATGAACCTTAGTTGGACGAGCGACGTGGGAGGAGCTTGGTTACATGTAGCAATTGGTGTTGTGCTTGGTGCATTTGAGACGTGTTGTCTGCTTGTGGCATCTGGGATGCATAATCCTCTCGTTGACAACTTATGGGTTTGTTACAGATTAAACGGGTGCAATCTTTAACACTAAGATGATTGAAGAGTATTGGGAATGGGTTTTTCTACTATGGTGGGGGGTTAGCTCCCACTTTTTCTTGCTAGGTTTTATGCGAGGGAAAGGGCCTAATTTGTGTAACATCTAAGAGCTCCACATTTGAGAATCCATCTTGTTTGCTTGATGGAAAATTTGATGACAGTGAGAGATTGGGGAAGAACTTGATCTTTAAAATCTAGGCGTTATGGATCTGAATTGTAGGATAGTAGATTTACTATTTTCGTAGTGGCTAAGGTTAAGTGGATTCTCAAATCTTTTTACGGGGAGCTTTCTTTACTGCTCAAGTTTTTTGTACCTGCTTCAAATACTTCTGGAAGGCTTGTTTGACCATCCATGAGTGTTTTGGCTGGATTTGTTACTTTTGTACTTTTTCTTATTTTTTCTTTTCTTCATTTGGTTTCTCTAGCCTTTTTTTGGTTAAGGGTTCCTCATCTTTCAAATGTGCAAATGCAAACATGTTATCTTGCATTATTGAATCAATATATTCTTTGCATTGATTATCTCTTTTCAATCTCCTTAGTTCCGTCTGTTAATCTCTGTATGAGCAGATTAGAAATAAGTTTGGCTGCCAAGTTGAAGCTTTCTTTGTGATTCTGACTGCAATTCAGTTTCATGTGCTCTTCTACTGCACACGTCCTCTTCCAAATATACTGGCACTGGGTTTAGGTAATTACTTCATGCTGATTAACTGTATGGATGCTCATCGACATTGCTATTGCTTTTGGCTGTTATTATTGAGACTGTTGACCAAACAACAGGCCATTCAACCATTACTGATGCAATTCTTTGCATGATTTGATTATGTTTTGTTTGAGCTCATTTGTGAAACAGATACCATGAATATGAAAGATTCAAATGAACACTTGGAAACAAGTCAAGACGCTTCGGATATTACTATTTAGAGTAAAATTAATTGTTGGGTTTTTAGTTGTTCAAAGACTCTACGCACATTGTTTTAAGTCAACAATGATATGCAAGTGTTAGGGAACTTTGGGTTCATCTTTTAAGGAATCTTTTCTGGATAGTAAATCTGTATTGACTTTGTTGCCAATCAAGAAAGGAATGATGTGCATAATTTTATTAATTAATCAAGATTTTATGTTTAATGTGGAGAAGGAGGTTCTTTGTTTTTTTTTTGGAGAAAATTTAGGACCCGGTGAGATATTAATTATGATAGAGTTTGCTATTTCACCTTGAAAGCAAAAAGATAGGGCCTGTTTGTAAGAAATTTTAAAACCAATTCTCTATTCTCAGAGTTACAGACAACAAAGATTGAAAATTTGTTTGATATACAATTCCCAAATATTGTTTTTGAGAAATTGAGTTAAAAGGGGGCACTTTTAAGAACCCCAAAACATGATGATTTCTTTTTCTTTTTCTTTTTTCTTTTTTTCCAGTCAAATGTATTAGAATGATTGAAGACATCAGGTGCTCAAATTTTTCACTATTCTAGAAATTTTAATTTAGAGAACTCTTTTCACAAAACTGTATCAAACTTGTCCATAGTGTTTGCCATTCCTTGCCCCAATCTTGCTGCTGATATAAATAGGGTTTGCGCTGCTTGAATGCATGTCAGTTTTTTTGTCTTTTTTCATGCAAGTGTTCAATGGACTTCTCACTCTCTTCTTCTCCTTAATCTTTCTATTTTTATTTTTTTTTGGGGCTGTGAAATGGGATTTGTCCCTTAGGTTACACCTTTGAATGGTTCCTTTTCTACAAATTGTTGGGGTACGTATATGTTATAACTTGTCCCGCTAATGTCTTCTTATATTCTTGTAGTCAACTTGGCGTATGGGAATTGGCTCAAGGGGAATTTCTATGCAGCACTAAACTGTCTGGTATGTATCCCATCCACTAATGGTTGTTCATACATTTTATATTTTTCTATGGTTGTGGAAAATTTCACAAGCAGCTAAACTTACAGTTTCTTTTAGTTGGAGTACTACAAATTGTGTTTCTGGATCACTTCTAGATTGATGGATCATGGACATAATCAGCTGTACCCTACATTGAATATGAGCTCCCTGATTTTACTTCTTTCAGCTCAGAGGTTGTGCTCTTTGTGGTGTTCTTTGTGTTGCTGTTCACAGTATGGAAATGTAATTTTGTGCCAAAAAATTTTCTACAAATTGTTTGTTTGTTAATCTTTGTAAGCAATGGATATCTTGTTCCATCTTTGTAACTCTGTCTGAGCTAGCTACCCATTTAGATCTTTCAAAAAAGCTACTGTTTAACTTCCGAAAGCCATCCCTAATGTTGTTTGCATTTTTATTTCCGAACTTTTGTGTACCTTAGGAGCTAGTTTTTTGAAGAATAATGACTAACTCTAACTCCTTATGCCTTCTTTTCAGAGTATTAATTTCCTTGAGAACAATTGCTGTTCTAACAGTGACATTCGAATTTACTCTTTGCCCGAAATATGCTCTCATGAAGCTCTTCAAACATCTTAACATGGAAGCTAACATTATAGCACTTTTTTCCCTTTCTTTTTGACTAGGGGGCCATTGGTTAAAAATGGGCCTACTAACTTTGAGGTTGTGGGTTCGAACCTAAAGGCAACCACTTTGTGCAAAGTATGCTAGATGTTATGTCTCTATCTAATTTACCCCATCTAGACCCTTACCTAATGGGAACTAAACTAGATGTACTTTTTAAATGATTTCTTAAGAGAAAATGCATGAAAAGAGATGACACCATATACAAGCACTAAGAAAAAAACCAAAGAAAAAAACTGTACACCTTGACACTTGACTAACTCAACAAAATCCAAAAATTGCTTTATAGAGGGATACACGGACTCCAACACCCAACTATACAATATAGTACAAAAATTGCTTTTCAGCTTAGAAATAGGCACTTCCACACCTTCAACTGATATCCTATTCCTATCACTCCAAATGATCCACATCACAAACAAAGAAGCCAAAACCCGGGCTTTCATCCTCCTCTTCCCTACTCTCCTGCCTTTCCAAATTTGAACTATGAAGGAGATCCCTAGCACTTCTAGGAAATACCCACTGCATTGCAAAAAGAGCTAAAATTAGCTCCCACGGTTTCTTAGAAACTTGGCAATGAATGAGGAGATGATTAATAGTCTCCCAATTGTGTTTGCATCTACAATAGGGTTGTTCACGGGTTGGATCGGCTCGGTTTTGCTGCTCACCGTCACCCGAACCAACTTCTATTTGGAAAAAAATTCATCCGATGTTGACCGAATCATTGTTCAAAACCGTTCGATTCGGGTGATAGAAACTACGGTTGGATTTTTGTCGGTGATATAATCAAGCTTGAACAATAGATTTCAAACCAGAGGGTATCTAAGAAGAGAGAATTTTCAAAGGATGATGAAGATCTGAGGGTTTCACTGCCATGCTCTTGCACCATTGCCTCCCTCTGCCACAATCTTAGGTTGCCGTCATGATTTCAGAGTGAGAAGTGCCAGTCCAATCGTGAAGGAAGTGAAGGTGTTAAAATTGATGTATTATTGATTGATGTATTGATATGGTTACAATGATTCCTATATATAGAAGAGGGTGAGTGTGTAGTAGGTGAGGAGTAGGTGAGGAGTAAGTGGAGAGTAGGTGAAGTGGGTGGAGTAGGTGTAGTGGTAGGTTTTGGTACATTTTAACAGAAGGAGTATTGAAAGAGTGCAAATCGTGAGATATAAATATGATGTAAGAGAGAAAAATAAGCTATTGAGACAAGAGGGAGGGAGCGAGGAAGAGAGAGATCGATAAGAGTGTGGGTGAAGAGGGAAATGAAAGTTTGACAGAAAAAGATAGATGAAAAGTAGTGAGAGAGACAGAGATATAAAGAGAGAAAGAGAGATGAGAGTATGAGAGAAAGAAGAAAGGTTTGAGGGAGAGATGGAGAGAGAGAAACGTGAGGATTGAGGAGACAAAAGAGTTGGTGAGTGGTCAAATCTCTAACTTGGAAAGGTTTTTATTTTCATTTTTTATTTTAATATTTAATTTATTGATGGAAAGGGTGTGAAACAGATATAAAGAGAGAGAAATGGAGATAAAATTGGGTGAGAGGAAGATGAGAAGTTTTAAGAGAGAAAGAGAAACGTGAGGATTGAGGAGTGGGGAGACAAAAGAGTGGGTGAGCAGTCAAATCTCTTACTTGGGAATGGCCATTTATTTACTTTTTATTTATTGATGGAAAGGGTCAGTTTATTTATTGTGCATTGGGAACATATATTTGCCTTGAAAAGAAAAGAATTAAAATTGGGATAATGAGCTGAGTCTTGTTCGTTTAAAATATCTAGGTAAACAAAGCTGACACAACTATTGAAGTATAAAAATATATGCATATACATAATTCGGTCGGTTTGGGTTAGGTTGATTTTGTTCTACTTAGCCTGACATCCGACCGAAATTTGAAATTTTTTTATGAAATAAAACCGCAGCTGACTGAGTGTTTGGTGAAACCGTCCGTAGTATTGTCAGGTTGGGCAGGTCTGGGTCGGATCTTTTGGTGATTTGTTTTTTAATCTACAACTTGTCATATTGCTAAACCTAGTTGTCAATGTTCCTTCTTGCTTTTAACCCATACGGTTAACCTGGGGTTGAGTGCAGTCTAATTTGCATGCCTTGGACTCCTTGTTGATTGTCCAGTGAATTCCTTAAGCTCCACTCTAATCTTTTTGTAAAATAAACTGATGTATTATATATTGATATATGTTATATTACAAGATTGTTATAGTGTAATTTACAAATGTTGAGATGCTGTTTATATAGGATATGATTTGGGAGTAGGTGAAGGTGGTAGTGGAGGTGGTAGGTGAAGTGTAGTGGAGTGTGTGATAGTGGAGGTGGATGGTAGTGGAGTGTGTGATAGTGGAGGTGGTAGGTGTGGAGAAAGATAGTGGAGGTAGTAGGTGAGTGGTAAATTCTAACAGCCCCCCGCAAACTCAAGGAGGATAGAAACTAACCAACTTGAGTTTGGAGAGAGGAGCAAAACAAGAAAATTTTTGTTGTAAATCTAGAGTTATTCTCAATCAATAAGCAAATGATCTCTTTAATTCTACCTGCATCTAAGTTTGTTGAATGATTCTATATACTATACAGAATTAATAAATGAACAATCACAACAATTGTAGTCAAGGTTCTGAAAAGCGGTTGTGGTTGCCGTAACGGTGGCGGTGACGCGATTGCGGTTACGGGGTGTAAAGGCTGTAGTGTAACGGTTGGGGTAACCGGAACCGTGAATTTTTTTATTTTTCGCACAATTTGAAAAAAACTTACCGATACTCATATTTTTTTTCCATGATCATATTTATTGGGTTAAAAATAATTATTGATCAATTTTTGTAAATTTTTAAGTATGATCCAATATATTTCATTTTTTTAAATCACTATAAATTGAGTTTTTTACATTTTATTTTAATAATTAATGACTTTATATTATACAAAAAATCAATCACTAACTATTATATATAAAATAAACAATGACAAAAGTAAGAGAATAAATAAGAGCCTAAATATATATATATATACATGCTTTAACCAAGCCAAATAAATAATGACCACACTTATTATTATTATTTTCAAACAATATATAGATAGACACACACGAACAAAATGGTTTAGTGATAGCAGTTGAATAGAATAGTATAGGTCTTACAACTTCAACAAATCAATAACATGTTCTTCATCTTCTCTCTTCTCTCTCTCTCTATCTCTTGCTCCTTCATTTTCTCTCTTTATCTTACCTCTTCTCTCTATCCCTCTTCCTCCATTTTTAGCTTTCTTTTGTGTGTTTTTTCGAAAGAAACATTATTATTATTATTTTCAAACAATATATAGATAGACACACACGAACAAAATGGTTTAGTGATAGCAGTTGAATAGAATAGTATAGGTCTTACAACTTCAACAAATCAATAACATGTTCTTCATCTTCCCTCTTCTCTCTCTCTATCGCTTGCTCCTTCATTTTCTCTCTTTATCTTACCTCTTCTTTCTATCCCTCTTCCTCCATTTTTAGCTTTTTTTTTTGTGTTTTTTCGAAAGAAACAGTTTGGAACCGTTACGTAATGGTGCGTAACAAGCCGTTACAGCTGTTACGGCACTGTTACGACCGCTATGGCAGCCGCTACGGCCGACACACCTGTGAATCTCAATCACACTGCAAAAGCGGCCGTAACGGGTGGCGGTAACCGCCAAAATCATTACGTATATGGTGGAATTCTTAACCACTTGCTTCCTTTGGAAAGGAATTTGTAAACTTGGGATCTTGGTAATTTGAGGAAGAGGGGTCATTCTCTTTTCAATTGGTGTTGTATATATGAGGAGACGGGAGAGCTACGTGACTGCCTAGTCATTCATTCTAGTTGGGATGAAGTTTAATTTATAAATTTACCTTAGTTATAATAAAAAAAGAAAAAGAAAACAATCATACTTAGTATTGGAGATCCCCTATTGAATTTTATTTGTTTTTTTTTTCCCTTTATAAGTAGAATGATTTTATGTTTTATAGGAATACCATGTAAACTGTATAATTACCATCTTCTTGTTGCTTTGTTGAAGTTTTCTAATAGCTTTCTGTGTTTTGGTGGTCAGATTTTCGCTACAATCATCTTTAGGTGCGACATACTATTACTGCTTTGTCCTCTGGGCCTAGAGCTTTTGCTGGTACGTTGTGTGGGTGTTCGCTTTATTGTTTTTATTTTTTCTTGCCTTTTTATTTTTATTTTATTTATTTATTTCTTTTTATTGAAACATATTCTACATGTTGATGCATTTACATTAATGTATCCTATGAAATTCCTACAACTGGGAGGTGGACATTTTTTGTTTTTGACAATATTTTTTACTCATATGTTACTCCACTGAACATTGATTTTGTTTTATTAATTCAATGTATATTGTGTGAAAAGAAGCTAGAGACTGTGCTTGTAAAATTTTTTTTCAAGACATAACTAATGCTTTAGAAATATTACCACAATAATTGGCAATACTGAGTTTTTAAAGGCAAATGCATTACTTGAGTCGTTTTACCCCTCATGAGGCGAGGCATAAGCCTTAAGGTGTCGAGGTGTAAGCATTTTGAATTTCAAATTTCAAATATTAATATTTAGTGAATAAATTAAATATTTTAAAATAGTAAAAATAAATAAATATAAAGGTGTAAATATTTTTCTTCTTGAGCCATTACGCATTTCACTGCAAAAAATGAAATTTGCCTTCATTGAAAGTGAAATTGATATTCTTAGTTTTAGTGATTGAGCTTCTCACTTGAGAATTGACTGTGTTTTTTTTTATTGGTCATTTACTTTATTTTTCCTTTTAGAATATAGTTGCAAAATGGGGTTCTTTTTTATTTTTTGCTTTTTTTGTGTTTAAACAATCTACTAGACTAAGTTTAACAAAAGTCCAAGGCAACCTCTTCATATGAGTACTTCTCATGTGCTTATGCGCAAAAGGCATACAAGGTGTGCACCTAAGGCGCATGTCTCAAGCTGTTATGCGTAAGCCTTTGGGGAGTAAAGTCTAAAAATCAAAGCCTTGATACGTTTTACCTTAGCCTTGAGGTGAGGCGAGCATCGAGTCGAGCCTCAATAAATCCTTTTAAAACTTAGATGCTGTTGCATGGCCTTGTTTATCAGAGTAGAAAAATGGTACTTAAAATATTTTTAAACATGTTTTCCATAATGAGAAATGACAAAATATTATCCAAACCAATGTTAAGCTATGCTACATGGACTCGGATACAAGTATCGGGTGCGGGTGTGTATCAAAATGTCAAACCTTCATAAATTTATATCTTAAGATCTTGGGATATATATCTAAAATTGGATATGGGTACGGGGACACGTGATATACACATATATTGTATATTATATAATATTCTCGGATGAGATATTGTAAGTCATGTAGAAATATACTAAAAATTAAATAGGATTCAAGAAAAATATTAAATTTCTATATCTAATTCATATAAGAGGCTAAAAATATTGCTTTAATAGCAAATCTGAGTTTCTTCTTCATATATTGTAACAAATTAACGGATCCGAGTGTCTAAATTGGGTATGAGCATCGGACATATATTCCACACCCTTACGCATGTCATACCCAATGGACTTGAGAGTCTATGTAACAGCACAAATGATTTTGATCTGGCATACTGATGTGGGAAATATGCTCAAAAGGCAACTCTTTTAAATTATGTGTATCACTAAGATGCAGTTTTTCCTAGTTTTGAAATTTGAATGACATGCCACTATTTTTTCTTTCAAGCCACTAGTTTTAGTTGCTAAACATTCTGAACTTCTGCTGCAATTTTGAATGTCGCATTGCTTTTCTTTTTCCTTTTTTCTAATAGTTTAGTAACCACTATTTCTGAAATTCATGTGATGGCAGCTTTATATTGCGTGAAACATGATTATCTTTACCCACCCAAAAAAACATGATTATCTTAAAGGTGCAATATATTTGATGATATTGACACCGGAAGGCAGGGGTGTAATTTTGGCCCGTGGCCCGCGGGCGGTCCTAGATGAGCCCGGCCCGTTAAGGCCCGGGCCCAAGCCCAGACCGAGGCCTTGGGCTAGGGCCAGGGCCATCGTTTTGAAGCTCGGCCCGGCCCGCTTGGTCTGACCCATGGCCCGCCCGAGGTCCAGTGTTATTTTTAATGGAAAATAATAAAATTTTGGTGGAAAAAATAAAAAAAATTTAAAAATTGTTTAGGCCCGCCTAAAGCAGAGTCCCGGCCCGAGCCCAGGGACCCGGCCCATTGGTCTGTCCAAAGCCCGAATACCCTCGGGCTTGGGTTAGTTTTCTGGCCCGTGGGCCGGTCCGACCCGGTCCAATTTTTTTGCTGCAATTTTGAATGTCGCATTGCTTTTCTTTTTCCTTTTTTCTAATAGTTTAGTAACCACTATTTCTGAAATTCATGTGATGGCAGCTTTATATTGCGTGAAACATGATTATCTTTACCCACCCAAAAAAACATGATTATCTTAAAGGTGCAATATATCTGATGATATTGACATCGGAAGGCAGGGCTGTAATTTTGGCCTGTGGCCCGCGGGCTGTCCGAGGTGAGCCCGGCTCGTTAAGGCCCGGGCCCAAGCCCAGACCGAGGCCTTGGGCCAGGGCCAGGGCCAGGGCCATCGTTTTGAAGCTCGGCCTGGCCCGCTTGGTCTGACCCATGGCCCACCCAAAAGCCCAGCCCGCCTGAGGTCCAGTGCTATTTTTAATGGAAAATAATAAAATTTTGGTGGAAAAAATAAAAAAAATTTAAAAATTGTTTAGGCTCGCCCAAAGTCGAGTCCCGGCCCGAGCCCAGGGACCCGGCCTATTGGTCTGTCCAAAGCCCGAATACCCTTGGGCTTGGGCTAGTTTTCTGGCCCGTGGGCTGGTCTGACCCGGTCCAATTTTTGGCGGAAGCCCGCAAGGCCCAACATGGGCCCGGCCTGAGCCCGGATGGGCCAGGTTGGGCTGGGCCAAAATTACACCCCTACTGGAAGGCCAATACAGGACTGATTCTCAGAGGTTGACTTCTTGTAATCACACTATGAATATCAAAATGATTCAAGAATTTGAATAATTTTTATTGATAAAAGAAAGCTGAAAAGAGATTTCTCTAGCAAATTCATTCCCTTCAATAAATATTATTGTTTAGTTAATGTAAAATTCTAATTGGTTGTTAAGGTTCTATTCTCCATTTCCAACCACATCTTAAGGAAACTTATTTTTAGAATATCATTTCTCCACACTTGTGTGAGGAATGATTGAATCCTGAATGTAGGGAAGAGCTCAGAATGGTTGTAAATTTTGTTCATCTGAAGTGCGAGTCCTGCGGCATTGACTGCTTGCCCTCAGTGCAATATTTATGCTGTCATAACAATGTGTCTGTGGCTACATCTGTTAATCAGTTTCCAGTGGTTCTTTTCCTTCATAATTTGTTGAAACCATGACTGAACAATATAATATCTGTGAGCTAAAGAAGATGACAAATGCATTAACAAAATCATTTTCTCCACTGTGTCACACATCATAGGCTGCAACATTTGTGCCCTGCTGTAAAGGGTACTGTGTTGGATGCTTTTCCCTGCAGAACACCAGGTCTATGTGATGCAGAGTATAAGAAGCTCTGTTTTCAAAATCCAGCGCTGTCCCTACTTGTCCTACATCACTATGCCAAAGTCCATGTTTCATAGGTGTACTCCAATTGCAAATTGTATTGCAGTGGTCAAATAATTTTTTTGCTTATATCAACTACTGTTGTTCCTTTGTGCTTGGGTAACAACTAGTGATTATGTTAGTTCAATACATGCTTGAGCTTGCATTTTTTTACACATTTTGGTTCATGATAGTATATTTGCCTCATCAATCTTTGTGCCCCAGCTTGAGAATATTCATTTGTCAATGGCAGACCAAATCGATTTCGTTATGGAAAGCAATAAAATGCTGCATTGGAGCTGCTTTGTTTTGTATAGGTTGGTTGTATATGTTTTTTGATTTTTGTGAAAGACTCCTCTTTTATGGTTCCATAAAATACGTAGATCTAAATTGGTCTATGATATCAACTCCTGTTTTGATGAGTAATGGAATTGTAAAAATTACAGGTCTTACTGTGCTGGTTGATTCAATTATGTGGAGGAGGTTGTTGTGGCCTGAGTTTGAAGTTTTATGGTTCAACTCTATCTTGAACCGCAGTTCCGAGTGGGGCGTATCCTTTGTCACAAGAAATTCTATTACATATGTTAATCTTATGTGGAATTTGGCAGAGTTTATAAAAAATTGTGTTCAAGTTCCCAGACTTTATTTTATGCATGTTTCTGTCTGTCTGATGTGTTTGTTCTGTGTGATAAGCTGGTGCTGGTGAGTCTGCAAAATGTTTTTGCTGATTTGCATGTGCATCAATATTTATGTCATGCTTTATTCTGAACTTGGGACATGCATTATTGTTGGGTGACATATACATATGCTTTTCTGTGCATGTTCATGAGCCGTAGGGTTATTTTTTGTCCCCTTGAACAGTTTTGTACATAAATAAGCCAACATATAAGGCTGGTGATATGTATTGAGACGGGGCAAGACGTGAAAGTATAAAGAAGACTTGAGTGGCTGGCCCCCTTTGCTTGGTGTCGTGAATTCGGGGGGGAGAACAAACTGAGGTCATTTGAAGGAGCCAGGGGAATCTATGCATAAAAGATGTGTATTTGTTTTTGGGAGTCTTATTTAGTCGAATCATTGGTAGAGTTTAAGCCTTATACCCAATCGGTTCTGTGTCTTTGTTGATACTTTAGACTCTTCGATTTTGTAAGTACAGAGTATACAAGGGTTTCAGCCCCATAAGTGCCAATTAGTGTAAGTTACTTCAGTAACAAAAAAAAAAATCAAAAAACCTTCACTAATACCAAAATTCTTTCCTATTTTGTGTTCTCTTCTTAGTGTTCACCTTGCCTGTTTTCCACTTCAAGGTACAGCTTGTGAATACCTGTTGCATGCGACTCATTCACAAAGATTTTCAGAATGTGGACCCTCGAATTGATTAATGTATGCTTACAATTGAATCACCAGTCATAAAGAAACCCTACAGCATTGGGAAAAAAGATACAAAAAGGATGTTCACATTCTTAAAAATTCTCTTCTCTTTACTCTTCTTATCTTAAACGTTTAGTGTGTTCTTTTTCAGAAAGTGCTGGTTTTCTCCTTTTAAACTGAAATTCTGAAAACACGTAGAATTGTGAATGAAATTTGTTGCATAATCAGCTCCCTCTAATAATATTAAACTAATAATCTGTACTTATTAGTATTTTGCGATAATTCCTACTTGGTTTTATGATTGATAATCAAAAGTGTTGTTGTGTAATAGGAAATAATTCATGAGGGAATCTGTTATTAATTATAGATACATAGAAAGTTATGCATATATGCAAATTTTTACCATATGTTTTTACCTATGTCAATTTAGGTTGCCCCCTCCCCTTAACATTTTCATTTATGATAATCATCACTCTTCTTACCGTTGCATCTACCGGTCTTCGTTGTGCATGACCACACTATCTTTGTTTGTTATCTCTGAACTTCTCTTCAATTGATGCTACTCCTGCCATTTCATGAATATATTCATTTCGGATTTTTTTCTTTCCTTATCTTAACATACATATATCTTAGCATCCTCATATTAGCTACACTTATTTTATGAGCGTGCTATTTTTTAGTTACCTAACATTCATGTAGCCGACCCCATTTGATGGGACTTAAGGTTTGGTTTGGTTTGGTTGGTTGGTTGGTATGTTCATTACATAATATGCGAGAAGCACTCCTCTACTTAAGCCAACCTACTTTGATTCTATTGATCACATCATGTTTGACATCTCCATCCTTATTAATAGTAGAATCCAAGTAACGAAAATGTTCACTCTTTGTTATCTTTTAGTTTTCAATCTTCACTTCTCCACTATTTCTACTTTTATTGTTGCTATAGTTACATTCCAAATTCAATTTTAGTTCTCCTAATTTTAAACCCTTTTGACTTAAGTGCTTTTCTCTAGATTTTTAATTTAATATTAATTCCTGCATTAGTTTCATCCACTAGAATCATCCACATACAATATATACCATGGAACATCATCTTGAAAATGTTTAGTTAATTTATCCATATCTAAGATAAATACGTAAGGATTCAAAGTTGACCGTTGATGCAACCTTATAGTGATTGGAAATTTACTAGTTTGTTTTGCACATGATTTAATTATAGTCACAACCCCATCGTATGTGTCCATCACATAAATATACCCATTGGTCACACCATTTTCCTCTTACACGTACCATATTATATCTCTAGACATCCTATTGTAAGCTTTTTAAAATTTATAAAAACTATATGAAGATCCCTCTTCTTTTCTTTGTATTTTGATTTTAATCTTCTTAGTAAATATATTGCTTCCATAGTGGATCTACTAGGCATAAATACAAACTGATTTTCTAGCAGTGCCTTTGTAACTCTCAACCAATGTTCTATTACTATCTCCTACAATTTTATTGTATGACTCATCAACTTAGTTCCTCTATAGTTGTTGCAATTTGAATATCTCATTTATTATTATTATTATTATTATTATTATTATTATTATTATTATTTTTATTTTTCACTCATCAGACATTTTTGTAATAATTAAAATCTTACTAAAGAGACCCCCTCCTTACATATGCATTTCTAAGCCCAATAAGGATGTAATTTGGTCTTAATGCCATAAACTGTCTTCTACATCGGTCCGACATGACCCCATAAACTGTCTTCTACATCGGTCCGACATGACCCCGTAAACTGTCTGCTACAAGGGTCCGACAAGACTCTGTAAACTGTCCCGACATTGATTCCGGTCAGCTTCTACAACGGTTCGACACGACCATACAGTGTCTTCACCAACGGTCTGACACGACCATACAGTGTCTCCTATCCACTTTTATTTGTCAGTTTATTTTTTACGTTTTGTTACTCTCTCCAAACTCAAGTTGGTTAGTATCTATCCTTCTTGAGTTTGAGGGGGGCTGTTAGTATATTATATGTATTATATGTTAGTGCATATCTATATTAGCTGTAAAATACCAACTAGCTTTAATAATGTTGTCTCCTTAGTGCATGCTTTCCTGTTTCTTCTTTCGGCCACTTTTGGCCCCTTTGTAACACTCTCTCCTCTATATAAGAGAGTCCTGAACATTGTTAATTTCAAGTATATAACATTCAATACACAATTCTTTCGCTTTCTTTATACATAAAACTTTCATACTAAAGAGACCCCCTCCTTACATATGCATTTCTAAGCCCAATAAGGATGTAATTTGGTCTTAATGTTCTTTTACATATGCATTTCTAAGCCCAATAAGGATGTAATTTGGTCTTAATGTTCTTTTCTCCATCTTTAATCAAGTATAAAAATGATCGTAACTATGTAAGTTTTTTTCTTGGCATCTCTAATTGTCCTTGTAACCTCTTTATTAACCAACTTCTGTCTCCTAAATTTTTTCTCATTTTTACCCTTTTACCACTTTTTAAAGCATTACTTTTTTTTTTTTTGTTTTTAGTAAAACTTTTATCGTCATTCCACCTCCAAGTATTTTAGATATAGGTCCTTTTCTTTTTGTCTATTCAAAGACTTTTAGATATTCTTTTTACATTATATAATTGTATTCCACATATTATTGATATCACCTTTCAAACTTCTTGTTGCATCACATCTAATTCTCAGCTTTTAGAATCCACTATTTAGTTTGTGAGCTTTTAATATGGGTTGAGAATACCTTTTAATGTATACATATAATATTGTTGACCTATGTTGTGATGTTAATCTCTTTTTGGGGATAAATTTGCAATCTTTACATATTAAAGTTGGCTAATTTTTTAACAAGAAAATAATCTATTCGATTGTTATTTGATTTACTTCTAAAAGTTATTAAGTGTTCCTTTCTCTTTTTAAAGAAGGTTTTAGTTACTATAAGTTCAAATACTATTGCAAAATCTAAGATGCCCTCTCCAGTCTCATTGCGGTCCCCAAAACCACATCCACCATGCAACCTCATACCCTTGCTTACCTTTTCTTACATGAATTTGTCTCCAGGGTATAATTACTTTTTCTCCTGCAACTGTCTCTTGGATTAGCTCATCTAATTGAGCTAATCATAGTACCTACTAATTCCATAGTTTTACCTGTTAATGTTCCCGTCTTCCAAGTTGCTAATCTGAACCTACAATTTTGGGCTAACTTCTTTACTTGTGCTCGTCCAGAGAAATGAAAGCACCCTCACCTATTTTTCACTGCATTTGGGTGTCGATGTGGTGCCCCTTACCCATTTTTCAAGGTGCTTGAAGGTAGGAAGAAAGTATCGTGTCCTCGCATGTTCATATTATATTAAGATTCATGTTCATAGGGGGATCTAACATGAGATTTTTACATGTTGACTGTCAGACTACCTAACAACACATAACCCTCCTCCTGACTTTGGCTTGGGAATGGCAATGTTGAAATAACACCAGTGAAATTGTTCCCAACTTCTTCATCTTAGTCCTGCATCAAATCTATGTAGTACATGTTATATATGTAGTTTCTATTGGGAGTTTATGCATCTGAAAGGGGAAGGGGGAGTATATATTTGTCTCAAAGATGGAAGCAGTCTCACTGCTTTTGATTTCATGAAATTCTCTGGGATGCTCTTAGGTGACACTGTAGTGGAACATGATTCCATTCAGATAGCTGGAACTTGTAAGTGACAAGTTTACCTGCAGCTTAGCTAAATTGAGGGTAATATAGGACTGGTACGTCTTTTTAGGCACCTTCTTCTCGTGCATGCTGATGGTGGTGATGCTTGCTCAAAGTTGATGGTGCTGACTGGACTTCACTTGGTTAATGCTTACATTGTTGTGATTTGGCCTTTCTAAGATTTTAATATGCACCTCTGTATTTTCTTTCTTAATCTATTTGATCTTTTGATTCATGAATGGTGCAGATTTCTATACTTTTTATGTCATAAATTCCTCAAAACTCTCTTCAAAATACACCCTTGACATAACTAGAATATTTTGTGAAATTCATATTTTATTTGTTCCTCAATATTTACTCTCTAGACACATCCCTTTTATTGGTACTTCACTTCAGCACTTCCCCGCTCGTTGCTTGCTGCATATCCTCTCTTTCTGGTGAGTCTAGAAACTGATATAAAAAGCTGTTTCTTGCCTTGCTAGGCATCTCATTCTTGTGTATATGCTAGTTGTTCAGTTACAGTGTGATGTGATATGCTTGCTGCTTAGATTGGGTGTCTACATTTTTCAGATTCTTCTCTATTGTCATGGTTAACAACTCTGGAGTGCAGTGTAGTGGGTATTGTATCTTACTAGAAAAGTGGCCCCGAGAAATGTTTTTTCTTTTGAGCTCAGTAAAGTACTGATGGTCATTTCACCTGCTAATCATATTACATGTTTTATAAGCATAAGAACTTATTTAAAAAACTTTAATGATAAATGCTTGTCTGAGTTGGTTTTTGTTTGCATAAATGTCTAGCGAGGCTTTTCTTTTTCTGAAACTATTCATGTTTTAGTATAATAATAGTTTGCAGATCTTTTGATGTAGTGATCTGGTTAAAACTCTATACAGCATACATGTTGCTTAGAATTTGGATCTCTTTGAAATTGTCCAGCTTGAGTTAAAGTACATTTCCCCCTTTCTGACTTGATGTAACATATTTGTTGCAGATTGCGGTTTTTCTTGATAGGAGGATTTTGTTCTACATTCTTCCAGTTTTCTCATTTGTTTTACTTTATTCCAAGCTTCCACATAAGGTATTGCTTATGAAACTTGAAATTCAGTTTACTTAAGGTCAGCTTTTTGCACAGATTCTATCATAGTTGTCATTGCTGCAGGAGCTCCGCTTTATTATTAGTTCTGTTCCAATGTTTAACTTATCAGCGGCAATAGCAGCTAGCAGAATGTATGTCTCTTTTCTCTAGTTTAATTAATACCTCAATTAATTTGTAGGAATACAGAGTTATTTATATCTTGTTGTAGTTGTTTTAAATGATATACTATATTTTTTTGGGTGTAATACTCCATTTTGACAGCCTGCTCACTGCTCTACCAATATTACTGCAGTATAGGGTCCTTAAATATAGGGTGTTAAAAATTAAATACTAGAAAATTGGTTAGTGTTTATTGATGGCGCATTTTTAATATAAACTCTGATTTTATGGCGCAATGCGGATCCATTGATTGATTGGGTACGTGGTTCATCAATCTTATAGCATGGCCTATTGTAGGTCTGAAAGCATGGTAGAATGCTATGTTGATGCCAACTAACTGTATTAAGTATAGTGTGCAGATAGGAGGCTTTGGCCATGTTTGAATATGCCCAATATCTGGTCATGATTTCCAAAGACTTTCATGCATTTCATTCAGAAATAAGTGCATATTGGGTAATGAGGTGAGAGTGAGCAATAAGGCTTGGGGATTTGGAGGCTTGAAATTTTCAGTCAAGATCTCTCTTAGCAAATAAATTTCGAGATACGGCTACAAGCGAGATCGATTTTGCAGAAGTGAAGTAGAAATATGGTAGTGTGTTGGGGAATTGGTCTTTGATGGAAATTTTTATTTCATAGTTGATGGGCTTTGAAAGGATATTTGGTTATTGTGGAATGATTTTTGGAGCTGTACTCGGTTTGTTGTTGAAAATGGTAAGAAAGGGCTTAGGTTTTCTGCTGTCATATATTAATTTTGGCTTGCTGCTTGTAGGAAAGTGCAACCCCTACTGCTGTGTAATCTCAGCCTTAGCCTTCTATCTATGGTCATTTATAAACATTTTACTTAATTTCCAAGTTTTTTCTTGTCCCAATCCCCAATATATGGTCCTATATCTACCTTGTATTTAATATCTTATGCCAATTACTTGCTGAAAATTTGTAACTTGCCAGAAAAATTATCTGAGTCTTGTAATGAAAATCTAGGGATTTTTCCTGAATCTTGTGTAAGTTAAAGTTTGCTACAATTCTGACTGTATATGGCTCTCTTACAAGTCTATATGAGTGTAAAGTGAACCAAGATGCTATAGCTCTTCACTTAGGGTCTCATTTGTGATTGACTTGTGAGATAGAAAAGTCAAGTTCAACACAAATTGAAACCTTGTCTATTTATTTCACTTAAACTCAGTTCAATAATCAAATAAGCACTTAAAAATTCTGTAAAATATGAAGCTACTGAAGTTGGACCCTTGAACTACTTAGTTAAAAGACTTTTTCAAGATCAGCTCAAGCGAAAGAGGAGCCAAGCTTTATCGTATTTTGAAGCTCATTAATTGGTTGAGCCAAGCTTGAGCAACTTGCTACTCAGTGTAACTTGTTTACAGTGCTATCTATGCAACACTTCTGCTGGCTCACATGGATAACAATTTAGAAAGCTATGCTTATACTGCAAATATCAGTACAATTTGTAACTTGTCCATTATCGTGAGATCTTGTTATTGATTATTCATTTTACACAATTGGATTTTGTGATTCCTTCATTTATTTTTGGCTTCTAATAATATTTTATTATTTCTGATGTTACTTGCTGCAGCTACAATAATAGGAGGAAGAATTTCTGGAATTTGCTTTATGTTGTTTTGCTGGGATTGCTCATGATCAGGTTGGAAGAATAGTCATTTTGTTCTTATTGCAAATATTGAATTAACTCACCTATCTATACTCATTTTCACTTTTTGTAGTCTAGGGTATACGATCATAACTTTTATGGCATCCTATGAGAATTATCCTAGCGGTTATGCTCTAAGAGACTTGCATAAGAATGGTCAGCTCTCTCTCTCTCTCTCTCTCTCCCCGTGTGTGTGCATTTGTTTGTGTGCCGCGGGTATCTCGTAAGTTTCCGTGCTGGCTGCTACAAAGTCAAACATGTGTGTGCAGAATTTCTCAATGCTTTATTAGCCAATGTCTGATGTTTGTGTAGACCTATATGTCCCAAGATTGCAAATCTCATTATGATTGACGTTGTGTCATTTTGTAGAAAAAACAAAATGTGCAACGCTTAGACCATTTATTCGGTTCATTATGGGACAGTCTCTTTGGAAATTATTCACTTATTTAGTCTGTTGACGATTGACAAGTATAGATTTCATGTCACGTGGTACAACCTAAAAGTTCTGGATTTGCCTATTTTATTTGAATGTTTAAAAAGATGAAAACAAAAATGTGTTAAATGAATTTGCATGATGTGTAGCATTTTGGTTGAATTCCGCAGAATGAATAGGCCTAGCATTGTCCAAGGTCTAAAACCTAATGTGTCTTCTTGTCTTGTTACCCTATTCAAAAGCCTCCGGGCTTGCTACATGTGAGAGGCTTCAATACAACTTTATTCCCTGAATACATTTGGGTGGCTTCAATGCATCTGGGAGGCTTTAAGCCACCCCGCAAAACCCTTCTGGCGAATACCGATGACCTCCTGCCAACCTCTGGCAACCCTCCCGCCGGTGGCCACCATCTCCGGCTATCCCCACTGCTGGCCACCACCTTGGACAACTCACAAAACATGTTCCCTTGTTTTTATATGTTTTTAGAACATTTGTGAACAAACAAGATTTTCATTTTGCTTTTGCGAAAAAACAAAAGCAAAAATATGTTTCCTATTTTTGTAAATAGAAAACAGGAAACTGGCAACCTTACCAAATGCCACTGAGATTGATTCAGGGAAATATGTAACCAAACACAGCCACAACTGTATGAGAGAATGCCTCGTTTGCATTTGTGTATCCATTGATATAGACATTTAAGTCTGTAACTTAGATACTTGTAAGTGAAGAAATCATTTTTTCTGCTCCTTTCTCTTTTTGGTTGGATATTTATTGGTACTGTTGATTAGCACCATTTTTTTTTTTATTTTAATATTATTAGCTTCATTTATATTTGTATTGCATGGGATGCTCCTTTTTGTATTTTTTTTTTCCCCTTTAAAAATTATATTTATGTATACGTGCGTCATATATATATATATTATTTTGAATTGTGTTTCTTGGTGACAATTGGAAATGATTATCCTGACAGGCTGTCTCACAAACAATTCAAATGAACAATGGGTTCACATTGACACCTTCTCAGCAATGAACGGGATCTCCCGCTTTTGTGAAAATGATTTCCCTTGGAGGTAGGGTGTGAATTGAATACAACTATTGTAATATATCATGGCCAACAGAGCATGATAAAAACCAAAAGAAAAAAAAGAAAAAAAAGCCCGCATTTTGCTGTCACAGAAAGGCAGTTCTCAAGTGGCTAGTCTTTGTCTGACCAAATATTGCCATTGGTCACACAAGCCAAAAGAGGCCAAGTGTTCTATCCTAGAAAAATTCTTTGCATGCATTGAAACTAAAATCTGATATAGAACTCCAAAGGAAATAAATATATTAAATCGTTTGAGGAAAGTTTACATGGCAACTCTCTCCTGCAGCACCAACTTGGGTGATCTCTCGGGAAAGAGGTCATGACAAAATTCAAAGTGAAGTAAAATTTTGATGATGGAACACCACCTGTCTTCGCCATACCTTACAGATATTCAAGTTTATGATTACATGAGGAAGCACTAGCAAATTGGCTACTGGTATTAAATAAGTTAGGGGAGGATTTCACCTTCAGATTTGGAAGCATGCTACTTTTTTGGGGGGGTGCCCCTGGGTGGGTTTGTGTTTGTGCTATTTGCTAAACTACCTACCCCTATATCCATAAATACATAACTCGAGTGAAGGTGATGTTTGGTGTAGGTCTCTGTCATGGCAAACCTAATGGGTTCCAAGAACAAGAGAGAGAAATTAGAGAGAGAGAGAGAGAGAGAGGAGCCCAAAAGGTTCTAGAGAGAGAATGTCTCAATATCAATCAATTATCATATAATGATCTCTACTTCTCTAGATATAGGCCACTAACTAACTACTCACTAACTATCTCACATGTTAGGCACATGCCCTATCAAAGTCCTCAATTGCCATTTCTAGAAGAGAATGTGTAGACGATTTTTCTCTTGCTTTCTAGAGATTGTACTTCACATTATTTGAATTAACAAAATTTGATATGTTCCACTTATCTTGATTTTAGGCATGAAGTTGGTGTCACTGTAGATAACTTAGAAAACGAATCAAAAGTAGTTTATTCACCTTTTACTTGTAGGAAGAATCGTTGTGATAGCAAGGGTACATTGAATTGGTTTAGAGTTGACAATCCATTGTTGATATGAAGATGATGGAAATATCTTCTCAATCTTGAAGATTGCAAACTTTAGGTTGCATTTTCTTTAAGAAGACAGGCAATCATCCTGACGTGTGGCCCTCTGTCTATTACTCACCCAGCACACGCTGAAACAAATATTTATCGATGTTAGGGTAACTTTTTGTGGCGCAGGTCATTGTGATGATAGTTGCTGTTAGTTTCACAAATTTAGTAATTGAGCATGGAGCTGTTGTGAATAAATTTCCAGGTGGTGCAATGGGTTTAATGTGGTTACTTTGCTTTCGAACTTATCTGTTGGCATATTATTTAGTGATGGACTCCTTTAATTTTATGTACATAAACCAAACCGGACCAAACTAAGCTTTATGTCCCACTCAAGTGGGGTCAACTTAAATTAATCATTTTTTCTCCTTTCTCATTTGTCGAAGGCTATATGTTCAGTTAAATTAAGAATTTTTTTTTATATACTGTTGCATTAGGTCTTCCCTCCCCCCAAACATTTTCATTTTATGTTATTTGTTTTTTTAAAAATTTGTACATATTTAAAAAAAATTATCATTTGTATAATTTGTTTGGTAGTTCATAATTAGATCATTTTCTAATGCAGGTATTCTAAAGAAGAAGATATCCCTCTGGAAGAACTTTTTCACAGAAATTTCACATTTCTTTTGAAGTGAGTTACCTATAGCATTTTCTTTATTTTTGTCATAAAACATGCACCAAAAGCCACACAAAGAGGAAGAGGCCCCAGTTATATAGACACTCGTGTAGTCAATGCCTCATAATAACAAAGAAGCACAAACATTTCTAAGAAGGGAGTTTGTGTTTGTGTTAGACGCCGCAATTCGTCAGAGACAATCAGATGTGTCAAAATTTTTTTTCAAATGTTACATGCTTTCAAAACTTGGGAGACACGTCTATGACTTCAACACATTAAGAAGCACAAACACTTCCAGGGTGGCATTTCTGTGTCAGGCATGTATTAGGCATTGACACTTGTTGTACACTTCCAGACACACTTCAAAATTTTAGGGGTCATGTGTCCATTGCTTAGACACATGCAACACAATACAAGTTAAAACAAAATAAATTAAGATCCAATAATAAAAGAAAAACAAAATAGATTTATACTGATTAATTCTTCCTCTTTTAAGCATTAAAAATGAATATTATTTATTAATATTATCATTTTTTGATGAATTATTCATATATATATGATATATAATAATTTGTAAAATTATATTGTTTGCGTGTGTTTTCAATGTATTATGAACTTACATTTTTTTTTTAATTTCCTGTCAAAATTGTTGTCTTGGTGTACCCGTGTCTGTGCTATTTAGGACATAAAATACATTGCAATTTTGAATAAAATAACTTGGGAACCTATGAATTGAATTATTTTCATATTGGATCAAAATTGATTTAAGTGTAGTCGAAGAGTCTAAAATCGATCAAAATTGTAATTTCTGTTTTTATCCAATCCCTTTTTGTTTGAAGTGATCCTACCTAATTCTATTATTCTCTTTTTGTGACAGTGAGCATGCAAACATCAATGGATTCAAGTGTTTATTTACCACAAGTGGGTTTTCCTGGGTTCATCTTCAAATTGGATTTCCACCCATTTCACTGGTAAGGGCTTCGCTCTGTATCTAATTGTTAATTGATTGATAACATTGCTACACCACATTTTCATGATTGTAGTAAACTGCAGGTTAAACAGCCCAAAGTATTTATTCATGGAAATATCAGAAACAAGGATGTTATGAATCGAAGTTGGCTGGGTTGCTCATGACTTGTTAAGGAAGACCTGCTCGTGTTGTAAGATAGAATTTTTGAAATTAAAGAGGTCAATAATGCCCTGTTTGTTTGGAAATAAAATATATTTCATATTTCATGCATTTGGTACAACGGAAAATAAATATCAACAGAAAATGAACTTATTTGGGCAAAAAATATTTTTTATTTCTGAAAGATAGAAAATATTTTATAGATTAAATTCTAAAAATGTCACCACACTACGGCCACCACCCTACCACCTCGGCTACTACTAACACCACCTCCTCCACTCCACCAACCTTGCCACCATCACCTCACCTCACCTCCACCACAAGCACCACCATTGCCGCCGCCGCGACGAAAACCACCCCACCTCAACCACAACACCACCTCCACTACTTCACCACTGCCACCACTAACGCCAACACTAATACAACAAAAGTTTCAAAGTCAACAAAATATAGGATAATGTTTTGTATGGAAAAAATTTCTGAAAAAAGTTTTTCATTCGGTTGAAAAATGTCTTTTGCCGAAACAAATGGAGCGTAATTTGTTTTTTTGTTTTTTTTTTTTTTTTTTTTTTTTTTTGTGTCGACATACACTAAATTTTGTAAAAATATGAACTGGTTGCAGGTACCAAGTAAGAGAACCTTGACTAGAGGAATTGGAGTTCGTCTTCTAACTACACCTTTGCCCCAATTGTAACTGAACTGTAATTCAGTGAAATTGCTTGACCTGTCCAGGCATAAACAGCATTGTTCTATTTTATGAGATTGACAATTCATTCAGTATCTCAGAGAGATTTCTGTATGAATTCAAAGCTTCACGAGATTTTTTAATGTAAAGTACTTCAAGAAAATTCATCATTGGACCACTAATGTCTTGGTAGATGGCAGCTGGAGGGTGTGCTCTAAAGATCTAAGCATGTTAGAGATTTTGTTAAGTAATTAGCTTGAATAATGTTTTTTATTTTATTTATTTTTTTAAATGGTTGTGTGCTAGTATACCGGGAGAGAAAAGAAAATTAATTATTGCATATACTTTTTTGTGACGGTGCAAAAGGCCATGTCGCAATTTCTTTTCACGATGGTAGAAGTGTATGCATTGTGTTTTGGCAATGGCAACCTTTTGTGATGATGTAGTGCAATCGCAAATAATATTTTTAAAAATTGGAAAAGCATTTTAAGAATGTAATGTTTGTTTACCTCATGTATTTTTATCATTGGGTATTGATTTTAGGTTCTTATTTTTGTCTAGGTTCTGACTATCCAAATAGTCTTACAATGTAACGGTTGAAATTGATAAATAACAAAAATAAAAAAAATAATAAAAAAATTGGGAGATCAAAATTACTTAGTGTTGGACAATCTTCACTATATTTAAATAGATTAAATTCTGTTGTGTACAAAACAACAACAAGAATAAAAGAAATAGATAAAATGAGAGAATTTGTTTGATTACAAAAATCAAACTCTAAATAAAAATAAATAAATAAAATCACAGATTTTATTTTGTTACAAAAACAAAATTAAAATCTGATTAAATAAACAAATAAAAACAGAATAAAATTAAACAACTTACTTGGTTAATTTATTTGAATAACTTTTCTGATCAAGTCCAATGTTTAACACTGTGTCCTTAAGACAGATTCGTCCTCTCCACGGTGCTATCAGAATTTGGACGTCTATCTCCCAGGATAAAATGATCTTATCAACGAATAAAAACAGCACTACAATTTAATCGTTCGTCGAACACACAAAGTGTTTACACTTTTTCTTTCAGAAATAAAATGCAGCAAAATGCAGAGATTTAAAGCAGAGGATGGAGTACGAAAATTGGAGTGAAATCCAAATGGGAGGCTAGTCTACTTATAGATGTAAAGGTGGCTCCTGGTTTTTGAATTGAACATGTATGAAACCTGTTAGTTTCAAATTTAAACAGATTTGAATCTGTTGGGTTAATAATTCAAACAGATAAAAACGGGTAGGGCTCTGTTTGGATGATCAATAAATCCAAACCAGTTTAATTCTGTTTGAAAACGGGAAGGGCCCTGTTTGGATGAACAAAAAATCCAAACCAATTTAATTTGAATTCTGGATTTTATTTTAACAAAAAATAAAATTAAATTCAAATATTTTTGGCCCAAAAAGATTAGAAGCCCAACACACCACGCACCCGCGCCCAAGCCCAGCCCAG